ATGGTCAGTTATGCAGCGTTTGGAGCACTTCCTGTATGGCGACGTTTTAAATGGGCAATCTGCTGCTGGTCGAGGTGCTGGGGAAAAATCCCAGGAGGATTACCTGCTGCATCCATCTTTGTGATTTGGGTGTGTGATTCTGTGACGAGTACTGAGGATACGAAGAGGCAGGACGTAGACGCAGCAATCACAATGTAAAGGTTTACTTAACACTGAGCAAGAGGAACAACAAAGAGCAAGTACACGACAAGACACTAAAAAATCACACACAAAACAACACTGAACAGTCCAGGGCTATTAGGGGGGGTTTATGAGATGATGAGGTGCAGGTGCGCTGGGGGTAATCGGGGTGCGTTGGGTTTCCATTCCATTTTGCCGAGGGGTGTGTCAGCCCGGGGGGCTCATAGCCCGGCGAATCAGAGCACCGGAGGAGAAAACGGGGGGGAGACGGCACTCGGAATATTTAAAATTGCCCGGGGGTACGAACAAAGGGTCAATTCGGGAAAGTCATATTCCTGGTTTAAAGGGGGAGTACCCCCGCCCGAACCAAAAATTATTTCGGCTGTATGTAAAAAAAACAATAAAAATTATTTGGGTAAAATTTAAAAAATAACACACGTCGGAGTAGAAGCAGAGCGCCCTATTGTTGGGGCCACTTTCTTTTTGGGTCAGGTGGTGATTGTGGGGGAGAAAACCATGCTATGAATCTCAAACACAGGGCCAAAAGACAGTAAAGGGTTTGGGCAACAAAACGGGGCAGGGGCCCGAGTTTGCTTTTTTGCATGTGGGTTTGGGAATCAATTTAATGGTCTCCTCCACCTCCGCCTCTACAGGAGTGGGTTTTCCCAAATTTAGTGAGGGGGTGGCCGGGCTCGTGTCTCAGGAACAAGGGGTCCCTTTTTAAAATTGTCTCTACCTCGATCGGGGTCTTACTTTTTTTTACAAAAAGCGACTGGTCGTTACCATCACTATTTAGGAGAATTGGATTGTCTACCTTTTTGTCTCAACTGTGGGGGTGTGTCAAAAATGAGCTCTCGTTGGAAGGGTGTCCCTTGAGCTGTTTCCCCCTTGGGGCGGGGCTTGCCCTTTATCTGTTCAGTTGGTTCAGGGGTGTCTCTGTTTTTTTTTTCAACCCACAGGTGTATCTGTTGATCTTTCTCAGGGTACGATGTCTTCTCCACCTCTACTAGCTTCTCCCTGAAGCTGCAACAAAAAAAGGTGCAACACTGGCCCCCAGGGCTCAATCTCTGCTGGGGGTAACCTGACACTGTCTCCCCCTTTGTCTTTCTGCCTCCACCAGGGGTCCCCTTCTGTGAGGCTGTTACGGTGACCTTATTACCACGTCATGAGTTATGCCCAGCAAGTCAGTACCATTTAGTCACAGTAATTAGGCTTCCCAAGCCTTGATTGCTGTGATGGTCATTAGTAGCCTACCAAACTTGCTTATTGGCTGGTACTCAGCACTCTCTTGTCCCTCTACATTTACATTTTGTCATTTAGCAGAAGCCCCCTTACAGTTAGTGAGTGCATACATTTTTTATTATATTTTCTCTACTGGCCCTCTGGGGGAATCGAACCCAAAACCCTGGCGTTGCAAACGCCATGCTTCCAACTGAGCTACATCCCTGCCGGCCATTCCCTCCCCACCCTGGACGACGCTGGGCCAATTGTATCCTTTACTCTCTCGCTCTCCTCCAACCACTACTCACTCTCCCTTTCTACTAAGAGGGCAATGTGCCGTCGCAACCCTTCCTCTCTCTCTCCCGCTACTCTCTCATCTTCCATCCTATCATCTCTTCCCTCTGCTCAAACTTTCTCCCCCCAATCTCCTCCCTCCTGGCTCCGTGGCTTGAGACCCATTGCGAGCTCACAGAACAGGGCTCCGGGCAGCCGAGCGGAAAATGGAGGAAAAAACTAACTCCCTGCGGGGCCTGGCATCTTTCACCCCTCCCTCTCTACATTTTCTTCCTGTTTTCTGCTTTCTTAAAAGCCACTTTCCCACCACTCCCAAATTCGAAGCATCTGCCTCTAACCCTAGAAGCTCTTTGCCACCTTCTCCTCCCTGCTGAGGCCTCCTCCCCCTCCCCCCCCCCTCCTCCCTCTCTGTGGAGACTTTGTCAACCATTTTGAAAGAAGGTTGACGACATCCAATCCTCGTTTGTTAAGTCAAATGACACCGCTGGTCCTGCTCCACACTGCCCTACCCTATGCTTTGACTTCTTCCCCCCTCTCTCTCCAGATGAAATCTTGCGACGGCCGGCCCCCCAACCCAAATGCCGCTTGACCCTATCCCCTCCTCTCTTCTCCAGACCATTTTCCGGAGACCTTCTCCCTTACCTCACCTCGCTCATCAACTCATCCTTGACCGCTGGCTATGTCCCTTCCGTCTTCAAGAGAGCGAGAGTTGCACCCCTTCTCAAAAAACCTTCACTCGATCCCTCCAATGTCAACAACTACAGACCAGTATCCCTTCTTTCTTTTCTCTCCCAAACTCTTGAGCGTGCCGTCTTTAGCCAACTCTCTTGCTATCTCTTTCAGAATTACCATCTTGATCCAAACCAGTCAGGTTTCATGACTGGTCATTCAACTGAGACTGCTCTTCTCTGTGTCCAGGAGGGTCTCCGCACTGCTAAAGCTAACTCTCTCTCCTCTGCCTCTCGTCGTCTTCTAGACCTAACTGCTGCCTTTGATACTGTGAACCATCAGGTCCTCCTCTCCACCCTCTCCCGAGTTGGGCATCTCCGGCGCGGCTCACTCTTGGATTGCGTCCTACCTGACAGGCCGCTCCTACCAGGTGGCGTGGCGAGAATCTGTCTCCGCACCACGTGCTCTCACCACTTGTGGTCACCCCAGGGCTCAGTTCTAGGCCCTCTCCTATTCTAGCTATACACCAAGTCACTTGGCTCTGTCATATCCTCACATGGCCTCTCCTATGACGCAGACGACACCACAATTAATATTCTCCTTTCCCCCTTCTGATAACCAGGTGGTGAATCGCATCTCTGCATGTCTGGCAGACATATCAGTGTGGATGACGGATCACCACCTCAAGCTGAACCTTGGCAAGACGGGAGCTGCTCTTCCTCCCGGGGAAGGACTGCCCGTTCCATGATCTCGCCATCACTGTTGACAACTCCGTTGCAAAGAGCCTTGGCGTGACCCTGGACAACACCCTGTCGTTCTCCGCTAACCATCAAGGCGGTGACCCGATCCTGGTAGGTTCATGCTCTACAACATTCGCAGAGTACGACCCTGCCTTACACAGGAAGCGGTACAGGTCCTAATCCAGGCATTTGTCATCTCCCGTCTGGATTACTGAAACTCGCTGTTGGCTGGGCTCCCTGCCTGTGCCACTAAACCCCTACAACTCATCCAGAACGCCGCAGCCCGTCTGGTGTTCAACCTTCCCAAGTTCTCTCACGTCATCCCGCTCCTCCGCACACTCCACTGGCTTCCAATTGAAGCTTGCATCTGCTAAAAGACCATGGTGCTTGCCTACGGAGCTGTGAGGGGAACGGCACCTCCGTACCTTCAGGCTCTGATCAGTCCCTACACCCAAACGAGGGCATTGCATTCATCCACCTCTGGCCTGCTGGCTCCCCTACCTCTGCGGAAGCACAGTTCCCGCTCAGCCCAGTCAAAACTGTTCGCTGCTCTGGCAGCCCAATGGTGGAACAAGCTCCCTCACGACACCAGGACAGCGGAGTCACTCACCACCTTCCGGAGACACTTGAAACCCCACCTCTTTAAGGAATACCTGGGATAGAATAAAGTAATCCTTCTACCCCCCCCTTACCCCACCCCCCCCCCCCCCCCCCCCCCCCCAAAAAAAAAGAAGAAAAAAATAACAATTGTAAAGTGGTTTGTCCCACTGGCTATCATAAGGTGAATGCACCATTTGTAAGTCGCTCTGGATAAGAGCGTCTGCTAAATGACGAAAATGTAATGTAAATGTAGCCTGTGAGAAAGACCCGATCACGTGACAGAGAGCCATGTGAGTGAGAGGTGCTTCAGCACGCAGCAGGGAGAAGGGAATTATAATTATAATATTCAGCCCAAGGCGCAAAAGGCATGGATTTTTTTAGGGGGCATTATGGCCACACAAAGGAGATGCAGCCTGAAAATTTGAGGCATTATCAAGTGCTTGTCAAATTGTGAATGAGAGACTGATGAAGTGTGTACAGCCTGCGCAAAAAACAAAACATGCCTTTCATGCAACTTTTTTCAAATCATCATTAGAGTTGCATCATGCAGCCTTAGAATGTGTTAAAAATCAAAAACATATAGCCCAACATTTATATCACAACTGAAGTTACATAAATTACTCTAAATTAAGCATATAGGAGTACCTGTTTCTTTGCTAACTGCTCACCACAGAATAGCTGCATGTGCGCGCTCCCTCAAATTGTTTGGAGAAAATATCCTTTCTATTTTATTCAGCTATGTTCAATTGTATTCTTCATACTATAAAATAATATAAAATAATGCCACTGAATCCTAAGCTAATCTTGTCTGCTAAATGAACTAGTGTAGCCCACAGATATATGGCATAGCCAGATCAGGGCCTAACATAAGGACAACTCAGAGTATGCTATTCCGTTCTTCTGAAATAGACTACATTTTCTTCATATCATGTTTCTTTAAACCTGTCTAAAAGAAATAATGGATTTATTGTGATGGTGTAGGATATATTACATGGATTTATTAGACCTTTTAATATGTAGATGTTCCAAAGGTCTGCATCATGGCTTGTAGGCTATGCGTGGAAGCCAGGAGATGCTAAATGTGTTTATGTTAATTAACGGTCAAATACTGAGACCAGCAGTTATTTGCTTGACAATCACCGGCTGACAAAATGTCATGACCGCCACAGCCCTACCCTTGTGCACCCCCACCTTGGGGCTGGGTCTCAGGGTGGGTCTGGATATAGGTAGAGGTCTCAGGGTGGGTCTGGATATAGGTAGAGGTCTCAGGCTGGGTCTGGAGCTGTCTGGGGAAGCCTAGCACCCTGACTGGGCTGCTGGGGTGGGGATGGAGGGGGTGGAGAGGAGGCTGGAGCGGCTCAGGAGGTCTCTGCTGTCTGTGAACAGGTTGTGTTTCTTCAGGCTGGCTGCCTCCTCCACCACTGTAGAGCAAACAGAGACATTCTTTTTTATTTATTTAACCTTTATTTAACCAGGTAAGCCAGTTGAGAACAAGTTCTCATTTACAACTGCGACCTGGCCAAGATAAAGCAAAGCAGTGCGATAAAAACAACACAGTGTTACATATGGGGTAAACAAAACATAAAGTCAAAAATACAACAGAATATATATATAGTGTGTGTGAATGTAGTAAGTTATGGAGGTAAGGCAATAAATAGGCCATAGTGCAAAATAGTTACAATTTCGTATTAACACTGGAATGATAGATGTGCAAAAGATGATGTGCAAATAGAGATACTGGGGTGAAAATTATTTGGTGTTGCTTTGGTGACCAGTGAGCTAAAATAAGACAGGGAATTGCCTAGCAGTGATTTATAGATGACCTGGAGCCAGTGGGTTTGGCGACGAATATGTAGTGAGGGCCAGCCAACAAGAGCGTACAGGTCACAATGGTGGGTAGTATATGGGGCTTTGGTGACAAAACGGATGGCACTGTGATAGACTACATCCAATTTGCTGAGTAGAGTGTTGGAGGCTATTTTGTAAATGACATTGCTGAAGTCAAGGATCGGTAGGATAGTCAGTTTTACGAGGGCATGTTTGGCAGCATGAGTGAAGGAGGCTTTGTTGCGAAATAGGAAGGCGATTCTAGATCTAACTTTTGATTGGAGATGCTTAATGTGAGTCTGGAAGGAGAGTTTACAGTCTAACCAGACACCTAGGTATTTGTAGTTCCACATACTCTAGGTCAGACCCGCCGAGAGTAGTGATTCTAGTCGGGTGGGCGGGTGCAAGCAGCGTTCGGTTGAAGAGCATGCATTTAGTTTTACTATTGTTTAAGAGCAGTTGGAGGCTACGGAAGGAGTGTTGTATGGCGTTGAAGCTCATTTGGAGGTTTGTTAACACAGTGTCCAATGAAGGGCCAGATGTATACAAAATGGTGTCGTCCACATAGAGGTGGATCCGAGCGTCACCAGCAGCAAGAGCGACATCATTGATATACACAGAGAATAGAGTCGGCCCGAGAATTTAACCCTGTGGCACCCCCATAGAGACTGCCAGAGGTCCAGACAACAGGCCCTCCGATTTGACACATTGAACTCTATCTGAGAAGTAGTTGGTGAACCAGTTGAGAAACCAAGGCTATTTAGTCTGCCAATAAGAATGCGGTGGTTGACAAAGTCGAAAGCCTTGGCCAGGTCGATGAAGACGGCTGCGCAGTACTGTCTTTTATCGATCGCGGTTATAATAACGTTTAGGACCTTGAGCGTGGCTGAGGTGCACCCATGACCAGCTCGGAAACCGGATTACATAGCGGAGAAGGTACGGTGGGATTCGAAATGGTCGGTGATCTGTTTGTTAACTTGGCTTTCAAATACTTTCGAAAGGCAGGACAGGATGGATATAAGTCTGTAACAGTTTGGATCTAGAGTGTCACCCCCTTTCAAGAGGGGGATGATCGCGGCAGCTTTCCAATCTCTTGGGATCTCAGACGTTACGAAAGAGAGGTTGGACAGGCTAGTAATAGGGGTTGCGACAATTTCGGCAGCTAATTTTAGAAAGAAAGGGTCCAGATTGTCTAGCCCAGCTGATTTGTAGGGGTCCAGATTTTTCAGCTCTTTCAGAACATCAGCTGTCTGAATTTGTGTGAAGGAGAAGCGGGGGGGGGGGGGGGGGGGGGGGGGGGGGGGGGGGGGGGGGTGGGGGGGGGTAGTGGTAGCCAGGTGGAAAGCATGGCCAGCCGTAGCGAAATGCTTGTTGAAATTCTCGATTATTGTACATTTATCGGTGGTGACAGTGTTTCCTAGCCTCAGTGCTGTGGGCAGTTGGGAGGAGGTGCTCTTATTCTCCATGGACTTTACAGTGTCCCAAAACGTTTTGGAGTTAGTGCTACAGGATGCACATTTCTGTTTTAAAAAGCTAGCCTTTGCTTTCCTAACTGATTGTGTATATTGGTTCCTGACTTCCCTGAAAAGTTGCATATCGCGGGGGCTGTTCGATGCTAATGCAGTACGCCACAGGATGTTTTTGTGCTGGTCAAGTATGAGGAGAACCAGGGGCTATATCTGTTCTTAGTTCTGAATTTTTTCTTATTTAAGATTGAGAGGAAAGCACTTTTAAAAGAACAACCAGGCATCCTCTACTGACGGAATGAGGTCAATATCCATCCAGGATACCCGGGCCAGGTCAATTAGAAAGGTCTACTCGCTAAAGTGTTTTAGGGAGCGTTTGACAGTGATGAGGGGTGGTCGTTTGACCGCGGACACATTACGGACTCAGGCAATAAGGCAGTGATCGCTGAGATCCTGGTTGAAGACAGCGGAGGTGTATTTAGAGGGTAAATTTGTCAGGATGATATCTATGAGGGTGCCCATGTTTACAGATTTAGGGTTGTACCTGGTAGGTTCGTTGATAATTTGTGTGAGATTGAGGGCATCTAGTTTAGATTGTATGTTGGCCGGGGTGTTAAGCACATCCCAGTTTAGGTCACCAAGCAGTACGAACTCTGAGGAAAGATGGGGGGCTATCAGTTCACATATGGTGTCCATGGCACAGCTCGGGGATGAGGGGGATCTGTAGCAAGCTGCAACAGTGAGAGACTTATTTCTGGAAAGGTGGATTTTTAGAAGTAGAAGCTCAAACAGTTTGGGCACAGACTTGGATAGTATGATAGAGCTCTGCAGGCTATCTCTACAGTAGATTGCAACCCCACCCCCTTTGGCAGTTCTATCGAGATGGAAAATGTTGCAGTTGGGGATGGACATTTCTGAATTTTTGGTGGCCTTCCTAAGCCAGTGTCACGGTTTCGGCCGTGGCGGCTCCTTTTCCTTGTTCGGGCAGGCTTCGGCGGTCGTCGTCTCCGGAGTACTAGCTGCCACTGTTCGATGTTTCATGTTAGATTGGTTTTGTCTGTTTGTTACACCTGTTTATTGTTAAGTGTTCATTAGGCACCCTATTTAGTTCTCTTGTGTTTGGTCAGGTGTTGTGTGTAATTGTTCGATGTCACGTGTTGTTGTTGGTCCTCTGTTTTGTGCTCTCTGTATTCGTTTTGTTTAAGAGAGCCCTGCACGTTGTGCGTATTTACTTTGGACAGTCCGGTGTGCGTATGTTTCGCCTGTGGCCTGTTGCCGTGTTGGCTTGTACTGTCGGACTTCACTATAGACATCTGGTTTTGAATCTCTGTGTCCTGCGTGTGATTCCACGTTCCCTCTACACTCAACCCTGACAGAATTACACACCATCTATATGGAATCAGCAGGAGCACCCGCACCCACCGAGATCATGGAGGAGCGCCTTCGTGGTCAGGAGGATAGAATCAACCAAATCGGGCACGCCCTGGACCGAGTGATGAACACCCTCCATCGATGGGAGACCAGCGGGGTACCCACACCCCCACCTACCGCACCATCACCATCGGTCAGCCCGCCCGTCCAACTCCCGGAACCCAGTGGGATTCGGCTCTCGCTCCCGAGGGCGTACGACGGCACCGCTGCCGGGTGTCAGTGGTTCCTGTTACAAGTTGAACTCTACCTTGCCACCGTACACCCGGCGCCCTCGGGACACGAGAGCGTTTCCGCCCTCATCTCCTGTCTCACCGGCAAGGCGTTGGAGTGGGCCAACGCCGAATGGAGGAGAATAGACGCCGCTACTATCACCTATGCGGAGTTCTCCCGCCGCTTCCGTGCAGTGTTCGACCATCCACCAGAGGGGAAGGCGGCGGGGGAGCGTCTATTCTACCTCCGGCAGGGGATGAGGAGCGCTCAGGAGTTTGCACTGGAGTTCCGGACTCTAGCGGCAGATGCAGGGTGGAATGAGCGGGCACTCATAGACCACTTCCGCTGCAGCCTCCGGGAAGACGTCCGCAGAGAGTTGGCGTGCAGGGATACTACACTTTCATTTGACCAGTTGGTTGACATGGCCATTCGGCTGGACACCCTGCTCGCTACCCGCGGACGTCCCAGGTGGGGGTCGCCCATTCCACCCTCCAGCGCCTCCGAGCCGAGCCCGATGGAGCTCGGAGGTGCTGGCGCTAGAGGAAGGAGAAGAAGGAGCCCGAGGGGGGCCGTCCCCTGCACCAACTGTGGCCGTGGAGGGCACACCGCGGCTAGGTGCTGGGGAGGGTCCCCTGGTGGAGGAGACGGCAGACCACACATTGGGGAGTCCTCCCAGGTGAGTAGGCGCCCCACTTACCCAGAGCTTTCTGTCGTACACATAACCATACCTGTTTGTTTTCCACAGGTTGCACCTCGTTCCCAGCATAAGGCGCTAGTAGATTCAGGCGCAGCTGGGAATTTTGTAGATCGCAAAGTCTGTGTAGAGTTAGGGATTCCCCTCCTTCCGGTTAATAATCCTTTCCCTGTACATGCCCTAGATAGTCGTCCGTTAGGATCCGGGTTGATTAGGGAGGTCACAGCGCCACTTAGGATGGAGACGCAGGGGGGTCATGAGGAGACGATCCAGCTCTATCTGATCGACTCTCCTGCGTATCCGGTGGTACTGGGGCTTCCCTGGTTGATTACCCATGATCCTACTATTTCGTGGCGAGAGAAGGCTCTTAAAGGGTGGTCTGCTCAGTGTGAGGGGCTATGTCTGGGTGTTTCCGTAGGGGCGACCTCGGTGGAGAGTCCGAACCAGATGCCCGCATTGCACATTCCACCCGAGTATGAGGATTTGGCACTCGTGTTTAGCAAGACAAGAGCGGCACGGTTGCCGCCTCATAGACAGGGGGATTGTGCGATAGACCGCCAGGCAGGAGCTGCGCTCCCGCGGAGCCATGTGTATCCGTTGTCACAGGAGGAGAAGAGGGCAATGGAGACATACATTGCCGAGTCTCTGAGACAGGGATACATACGGCCCTCCACTTCACCCGCGTCCTCAAGCTTCTTTTTTGTGAAGAAAAAGGATGGAGGTTTGCGCCCGTGTATTGATTACCGCGGTCTAAATCAGGTGACTGTGAAATATAGTTATCCACTCCCGCTGATTGCGACTATGACGAAGTCATTACACGGGGCACGGTTCTTCACAAAATTGGACCTCAGGAGCGCATATAACTTGGTGCGCATTAGAGAGGGCGATGAATGGAAGACAGCATTTAGTACTACCTCCGGTCATTACGAGTATCTCGTCATGCCATACGGGTTAATGAATGCTCCATCAGTCTTCCAATCCTTTGTAGATGAGATTTTCTGGGACATGCAGGCGCAGGGAGTAGTGGTGTACATAGACGATATTCTGGTGTACAGTTCTACCCGGGTCGAGCATGTAGCCCTGGTGCGCAGAGTATTGAGGAGATTGTTGGAGCATGACCTGTATGTCAAAGCCGAGAAATGTCTGTTCTTCCAGGAGTCGGTCTCCTTTTTGGGTTATCAGTTGTCTGCGTCAGGGGTGAGGATGGAGGTTGACCGTGTGTCAGCCGTGAGTAATTGGCAAACCCCAACCACGGTTAAAGAGGTGCAGCAGTTCTTGGGTTTTGCGAATTACTACCGGAGGTTTATCCGGGGTTTTGGACAGGTGGCAGCTCCCATAACGTCCCTTCTGAAGGGGGGTCCAGTGCGCTTGCGGTGGTCAGCTGAGGCGGACAGGGCTTTTGGGAAACTGAAGGACCTGTTTACCTCGGCTCCAGTGCTGGCGCACCCGGATCCCACTTTACCATTCCAAGTGGAGGTGGACGCGTCTGAAGCCGGTATCGGGGCTGTTCTTTCACAACGGTCCGGCACACCACCTAAACTCCGCCCCTGTGCTTTTAATTCGAAAAAGCTCAGTCTGGCGGAGCGGAATTATGACGTAGGGGACAGGGAGCTGTTAGCCGTGGTACAGGCCCTAAAGGTGTGGAGGCATTGGCTTGAGGGGGCTCAACACCCTTTTCTCATTCTGACTGACCACCGTAACCTGGAATACATTCGGGCAGCTAGGAGACTGAATCCTCGCCAGGCTCGGTGGACTATGTTTCTAGCCCGGTTCGTGTTTAAGATCACTTACATCCCTGGGTCCCAGAACGGGAAGGCAGATGCCCTGTCTCGGCGGTATGACACAGAGGAGAGGTGCGTGGAGCCCACTCCTATACTACCTAAGTCTTGTCTGGTTGCACCGGTGGTATGGGAGGTCGATGCGGAGATCGAGCGGGCATTACCCACCGACCCTAGCCCTCCACAGTGTCCGGTGGGTCGGACGTACGTCCCGCTCGAGGTCCGGGATCGGCTTATTTATTGGGCTCACACGTCACCCTCCTCTGGACATCCAGGTATTGGCCGGATGGTGCACTGCCTTAGTACAAAGTACTGGTGGCCAACGTTAGCCATGGAGGTCAGGATTTATGTCTCCTCCTGCTCAGTGTGTGCCCAGTGTAAGGCGCCCAGACACTTGCCCAGGGGTAAGTTACAACCCCTGCCCGTTCCACAACGACCCTGGTCTCACCTCTCGGTGGATTTTGTTACCGACCTTCCCTCCTCACAGGGGAATACCACCATCCTGGTCGTTGTGGATCGGTTCTCGAAGGCCTGTCGTCTCCTTCCCATGCCGGGTCTTCCTACTGCCCTACAGACCGCTGAGGCTCTATTTACTCACGTCTTCCGGCATTACGGGGCACCCGAGGATATAGTGTCTGATCGAGGCCCCCAGTTTACCTCCAGAGTCTGGAGAGCGTTTATGGAACGGTTGGGGGTTTCGGTGAGCCTTACCTCGGGTTCCACCCGGAGAGTAATGGGCAGGTCGAACGCGTCAACCAGGATGTGGGTAGGTTTCTGAGGTCATATTGCCAGGGCCGGCCGGAGGAGTGGGCGAGATATGTGCCCTGGGCCGAGATGGCACAGAACTCTCTACGCCACTCCTCCACTAAACTAACCCCTTTCCAGTGTGTGTTAGGATACCAGCCGGTTCTGGCACCTTAGCATGAGAGCCAGATCGAGGCCCCTGCGGTGGATGAGTGGGTGCGGCGCTCGGAGGAGACGTGGAACGCTGCACACGTCCATCTGCAGCGAGCCATCCGTCGACAGAAGACGAGCGCCGACCTCCACCGCAGTGAGGGGCCAGTGTACGCACCTGGAGATCGAGTCTGGCTCTCAACCAGAAACCTGCCCCTCCGCCTGCCCTGCCGGAAGCTGGGTCGGCGGTTTGTGGGGCCTTTTAAAGTCCTGAGGAGATTGAACGAGGTGTGTTACAGGTTACAACTGCCCATTGATTACAAAAATATTAACCCCTCGTTCCATGTGTCTCTCCTCAGGCCGGTGGTAGCTGGTCCACTCCAGGACTTTGAGATAGAAGAGACTCCTCCGCCCCCGTTGGACATCGAGGGGGCTCCGGCGTACACTGTTCGGGCCATCCTAGATTCTAGACGCCGGATGGGGGGTCTCCAATATCTCGTGGAGTGGGAGGGGTACGGCCCGGAGGAGCGGTGCTGGGTGCCGAGGAGGGACATCCTAGACCCGTCTCTTCTGACCGAGTTCCATCGTGGTCATCCTACGCGCCCTGCTCCGCGTCCTCGAGGCCGGGGGCGGCGCACGGCTGGAGCCGCGCGTCAAGGGGGGGGTACTGTCACGGTTTCGGCCGAGGCGGCTCCTTCTCCTTGTTCGGGCAGGCTTCGGCGGTCGTCGTCTCCGGAGTACTAGCTGCCACCGTTCGATGTTTCATGTTAGATTGGTTTTGTCTGTTTGTTACACCTGTTTATTGTTAAGTGTTCATTAGGCACCCTATTTAGTTCTCTTGTGTTTGGTCAGGTGTTGTGTGTAATTGTTCGATGTCACGTGTTGTTGTTGGTCCTCTTTTGTGCTCTCTGTATTCGTTTTGTTTAAGAGAGCCCTGCACTTTGTGCGTATTTACTTTGGACAGTCCGGTGTGCGTATGTTTCGACTGTGGCCTGTTGCCGTGTTGGCTTGTACTGTCGGACTTCACTATAGACATCTGGTTTTGAATCTCTGTGTCCTGCGTGTGATTCCACGTTCCCTCTACACTCAACCCTGACAGCCAGGATTCAGACACTGCTAGAACATCAGGGTTGGCGGAGTGTGCTAACGCAGTGAATAACTCAAACTTAGGGAGGAGGCTTAGGATGTTAACGTGCAAGAAACCAACGCCTGGGGAGTAGGAGTGATACTGGGGGCTACAGGGCCTAGGTTAACCTCTACATCACCAGAGGAACAGAGGAAGAGTAGAATAAGGATACGGCTAAAGGCTTTAAGAACTGGTCTTCTAGTGCATTGGGTACAGAGAAAGAAAGGGGCAGATTTCCAGGCGTTGTAGAATAGATTCAGGGCATTATGTACAGACAAGGATATGGAAGGATATGAGTACAGTGGTATGGGGAATAACTTTCAGCAAGCACACTAATAATATTGGTGTGGGTGAGCAGAGAGAGTAACATTGTAGTAATGCCTAAGATGTGTATTACACTTGAATAAGATAAAAGTAATAAATCAATATGTAGTAGAAACAATACCTTTGATGACTTCCTTGTTCAGACTCTGCAGCAGAATGCCCTCATAGATATTGTGAACATGGACAAAGTTGGAATAGTCTGCAAAGATTAACTGTTTAAGACCCTGCAGCTCCTAAAGACACAGAAACAACCATTTCAACCTGTGATTTTCTAAACAATAATGAGATTTCAGGATACAAAAAATATGTAAAGGCTTGTGCTCTCAAAACACTATTATTTTGGGGCAGTATAACATATGCTGACTTTCCCCCCATTTTCTTGAGGGTTTTGAAGGTCAAGTTTGCAGGTGTGTAGCAACTGATAATGTAATAAAATACCAATAATGCAATAGCAGCTAATAATGTAAGAACTTTTGCATGTGTAATAGTGTAATAACTTTAACCAATAATGTAATATTCACTCTCTTTTTATTTTTTATTTTTTATTTAGGACGTCCCAGGAATGTCACAAAATGGTCGCCTAAAGTGGTAAGGACATTGTGTTATGGTCCCCTGTAGGTTTTGTCTAGTTCCCGGTTTATCCCAGGGACGTCCCCGAGGACATTTTTAGGATGTCCTTGGGACGTTGTGTCATGGTCCCCTGGAGGTTTTGTCTAGTTCCCGGTTTGTCCCCAAGAACGTTTTTAGGACGTTCAAGGAACGTTGTTTCATGGTCCACTTGAGGTTTTTGTGTAGTTCCCAGTTTGTCCCTGAGGAATGTTTTTAGGACGTTCTTGGGATGTTGTGTCATGGTCCCCTGGAGGTTTTTGTCTAGTACCCGGCTTGTTCCAGGGGACGTCACCTGACGTCACAAAGAAACGTTCTCCCAAAAATAAAAATAAACATTCTACCCAGGACATACACAGCCTAGTTTCATTACACATCACCCGTTGTTACTGTTGCCATGGCCTTGATTGGTGAACCACTGATCCATTCACAGCTCATTGTCTTTTGGCAATGTTAGACACACACACACACACACACACACACACAGTGCTTTTAACATACAGTGTTTTCAACTTACATATTTGACACACTGACATACAGTACATGATTATACTGTGTATGTTTATTCATACAATAATTATTATTCAGCATGTCTTCACCTGTGATTTTAACTCACAACCTCTTGGTTTATGGAATTCAGATTTTCTGCTACGCCACCATGGCTATGTCAATTACTAATTTCACCTGTATTCCTACACTTTGTACTTCAAATTAAATCTCTGCTCTGTTAAAAATACTCTCAAGAAAAACGATTTAGGGAGTAACATTAAAACAGAATAATATGCCCAGCTCAGGTGGACATTCCTGCAGTCAGCATGCCAATTGCACACTCTTTCAAAACTTGAGACATCTGTGGCATTGTGTTGTGTGACAAAACTGCACATTTTAGAGTGGCCTTTTATTGTCCCCAGCACAAGGTGCACCTGTGTAATGAGCATGCTGTTTAATCAGCTTCTTGATATGCCAAACCTGTCAGGTGGATGGATTATCTTCACAAAGGAGTTTATTTCAATTGACTGATGTCCTTATATGAATTGTAACTGTGTCAAATCTTTGAAATTGTTGGATGTTGTATTTTTGTTCAGTGTAGGTATGAATGTGTAGTGGACTTCTGAAATTCTACGGACTTTGTGCCGCAGCAGAATGATCAGCATGCCCCAAATGTCAGTTCAAATCCCAAGTGGGGTCATACTGAAAAGTCAAGGTCAGAATGGAAGTGCAATGGTAACGCCCCCCCACCCCTTCCCCTTGCCAGTCTGTTGTGGCAGTGGATATAAATACAAAGTGTTCCTCAAGTGTGTGACACTTAATTGGCATGCCATTAAAGACAGTTATTACACTATTGATCACTTTTTTTAACCACTTTATAATGTAATAATCAACGCAGAATGTAATAATAATAATTTAATTATTACATTATGCTCAAAAACGTTATTACGTTATGCATTCAGCATATTTATTACATTATTGCCAATTTATTACATTATCAACATTTATTACATTATAAATGCAAAAGTTTTACATTATTAACAGCTATTCCATTATTGGCAGTTATTACATGATCAGTTGCTACAAGGTGGGGGCCAGGTTATGTGTGTTGGTTCTAGTGTTAGGTTAAAGGGTAAAGTGTGTGTATTGACTCACTGTTTTGTAAGTGGGGGCCAGGTTCTTCTTGATGTAAGGCAGAGTGATCTCCACCAAGGCCTCGTGAAGGATCCTCTTCCTCACCGTACCGCTGTCATAGTCATATTGCTGCAACATACAGAGAGTTTAGTCAACATATAAACATCTATTTTGATCAGTGCTTGTCTCGGTGAGTTCCTCTGTATGCCAGTGAGGTAACTGTGCTTTATACACTGATGTGTAATAATGAATAAGCAGCGTACCTTGAGCACCCTGTGCCTGGACTTCTCCATGGCAGAGCCTGCGTTGCCTGGGTTGTCCTCTATGTCCTTGTAGAGCAGCAGATGAAACGTGTACGCTGCATTCTCCACCAGCTGAACACAGAACACGGAGGAATGAACTGGGAGCTCATCAATCAATGGCACAGCTAGCACACTGTACATAGCTATTATTATTTATCGTCATCACTGTCTGTCTGATTCACAAGAACTGAGACTGTCTGATGAGTATTGACGTGTGGAAAATCTTAGTAAGTCACTTCGTGTGTGTGTAATGTTTACCTGCTGTAGGTCTATCTGGGTGCTGTGGACCAGGCTGCTGATGTTGGAGAAGCCAAAGCGTTCCTGTAGGTTGTGCAGCTGGTCGTGGAGAGAGTTGATCCTCTGGTAACAACTCAACAGATTGGGCCTACTCAGTTTAGCTAGGGCCTGGATAGAGGGAAAGAGGAAGAGGGGGATGAGAGGGAGGAGAGAGAGGGTGATGAAAAGGAAGCGACAGAAAGGGAGAAATGGGTGATGGAGTTTGATAAAATGGGAATAGATGAGAAAGAGGAAAAAGGGGTGAGGGAGAGAGGGAAAGGGTGAGAAGAAAGAGAAACGGGATCAACAGACAAAGTGAGGGTCAAGAGTTTGAATAAAGGATAGCTCAGACAGGATTGTTTATGAGACGAAGATAAGAGGAAGTGTGCACCTGCTTGAGTTCATTGGTAACCCCGCCCTCCTGGAAGTCCTGACACAGTTGGTCCATCTGGCTGTCACTCAAGAGCCGTGCTTCCTGGAACCCTGAGCTGATTGGTCCCATCAGCTCCTCCAGTACAGAGGCCAGGTAGGGCTGCACGCCCTCCGAACAGAACTTTTCTGCAGGCTCTAATACACTGGCTACATCAGGACAGATACATTCATTAGCTGCTCTGATACACTGGCTACAGGAGGACAGATACATTCACTGCTGCTCTCATGCACTGGCTACAGGAGGACAGATACATTTATTAGCTGCTCTGATACACTGGCTACAGGAGGACAGATACATTCGTAGATTCATGCAGACCACAAGCTAGGGCTTGGTCAATAGAGCAAGATACAGTACTGTACATTGAGTCACAGTTTAAGCTCTCTCTGGATTTAATCTATAGTGCTGCTGTTCCATTAATGCAATAAAAACAGGCTTTAATTAACATAAAACAAGGTATCTTAAGTGCTGCTTCCTAAGATGGATAATTGTAACTCATTTGATGGAGGGTATTGGCATGGCTCGTGTGTAAACTGCCTGTGTTAATGAACATGAATATTGTAGTCCAGTGTACAGAGTCATCAGATCTGCTGGGTGGCATTTGCTGTCCCCACAGAGACATTCACTCTCACAGGGAGTTAGCTAGGTATCAGTGTCAACAACACTGAATTGAACAACATAATAATGTACACCAACGCCCCAATACCACACCCTAACCTAAGCCCTGCTGGATCACCAACAGGTCTACCCAGCCCCCTAAAATCAGACACACACAATCTCACACGTACGCAAAGGCAAGCACGCATGCACGAACATGTGCGTGCACACACACAGTCTTGTATAACTAACCTTGTGGGGACACACAATTCAGTCCCATTCAAAATCCTATTTTCCCTAACCCCTAACCCTTACCCTAACCTTAACCCTAACCTTAACCCGAAAACCTAACGTTAACCCTAAACCTAAACATAATCCTAGCTCCTAACCCTAACCCTAAAACTAACCCTAGCTCCTAACCCTAAGACTAATTTGAACCCTAACACTAATTCTGACCTTAACCTTAAACCCCCTAGAAATAGCATTTTACCTTGTGGGGACTAACAAAATGTCCCCAGTTGGTCAAATTTTTGTTTTTTTACTATTCTTGTGGGGACTTCTGGTCCCCACAAGTATAGTTAAACACACACACACACACACACACACACACACACACACACACACACACACACACACAAGTACACAAAAATGCATGCAGTTAACCTGCCATGTTCACGGTCATATGGATGCATTCATGCAAAACAGTATCATGTGACAAACTACAAGTAACATATTGCATTTGTACAGCCTGTTTGTCTTGTAGTGAGTGAGAGCTGCATAGCCCTGACTCTCTTGCTGAATTCTAAATTAACCCCTACCCATATATGAGTATAGTATGGGGGCAGATTTTGGATTGATTCTCTCTACAGGGTTAGTCGGTACCTCGTAGCTTTCCCTCCAGGTAGGTTCTGGAGTTGAGGATCTGGTCCATATCAGAGCGTATCAGCACCTCCTGCTGGTGAGCTGCCGTCCTACACTCCTCCTTCAGAGCAGTCAGACCCTCAAGCAGACGCTCCTGCACCAGGATATAGGCCGCTTCTACCGTCTGTGGTGTAGAAGAGAGAGGGGTCAAGGGTTAGGGTTTAAGGAAATATACACACACACGCATCATCATCATCATACTTTAGTATTGGCAGCGTGACTCACAGCGAACCACACTCTCTTCCTATCTGTCTTCCTGGCCTTCAGATGAGGCAGCATGTCCTTTTCCAAAGAGGGCAACAGCTCCTCCATAACCAAGTTGGCCAGTACCTATACACACACACATAAACACATAATGTGGGGGAGGGGGGGACAGAGTTTCAATGTGAGTGTTAGAAGCTAAACCAGACAGTAACCTACCCTGACGTCACTTCCAATCAGCATGTTCCAGGAGTCATAGCTGCCCTTCTCCTGTCTGTAGAGGTGGACCGCGTTGAGGAAGGCCTGCACCTCAACTGTATTCTTCTTTAGGAAGTCTGAGAGAGAGAGAGAGAGAGAGAGAGAGAGAGAGAGAGAGAGAGAGAGAGAGAGAGAGAGAGAGAGAGAGAGAGAGAGAGAGAGAGAGAGAGAGAGAGAGAGAGAGAGAGAGAGGGAAGAGAGATAGCTCAAAGACATTGCTCCTGCATTTTTAACAAAAAATATAGATTTAGAGTTAGATAAAGTAGGATTTTTTGGCAGGGACATTAACAGGATGCTACCCTCCACAACATAACCTTTATTCCAAACCAAAACTCCAAACCTACAACCTGATTTTGGACGGAATTACCTGGAAAGCTTTCTACTACCAAGGATTACTATTCTCAAACTATACAGCAAATGCTCTGGAAAACAAACAGAAACCTGAAAACACCATCCAACCTGGAACTGAGTGAGTAATGTTTAGTATGAAGCTATTTTTCACTTTCAAAAACCAAGAAGAAAAATTCATTACAATTATATATTTTATATTATAAGGACTGAATTCTAAGGCTACCAAGCTTAAGCTTGCTACAAAGAGATACAATTTCAATTAGCACTGACGTGTGAAGTGAGAGGTGTCAAAGCCCTTGAGCCCAACAATGGCAGGAGAGTCGTACAGTCTACCCCAACTAGAGGCCTTAGAAGAGGCCTTAGAAGCACCCCCCCACTGTTCAGAGGTCATTAAAATACAGTACCCTCTGAATGTAAAAAAACGACAAGACACGAAAAGAGTACAAATTGAAACTTCTTTTGGGGAAGCACGAGACACTTTTTGCTGATTTGTATAAAAATGGGAACATAAGCAACCTTATCTTCCACACAGACCATCCCCTGGCATGGCACAGTGCTATACTAGCACACTACCCCTCTGTTAAGAGGGGGGGTGTTAGCGATGGGTGGAAACTCAGGATACTGGACAACGAGGACTCTGAGTCGTCTAATATTAATCTCTATAAATCTGGAACCGTCAAGGCAACACCAAACAGTTCCAGCTGGACTTTCACCTAATCAAAGAAATAGCTCAGCAGGAGAAGCTGTCCCTTGAGAAAGATACCCCTACCCCGAGCGGGTCAGACCAGACCTCTTCATTAAATAACCCCACAGAGCAACCCCAAGCAGAAACTCAACTTCCCAGCACAGAGTACTACTCCCTCATTGAAATGAAGGATAAATTCACCCAGCTGGAGGTAAGGCAGGTGGAGCTGGAACAGCAGGTGAACACACTCCAGTCAGCACAGACCCAGACAACAGTCCAGCACAACAACACCCCCTTAACTAGACCTGGAGAGCTGCAGGTGGAGAGAGACATGTCTGCACTCTGGACTGTGGTGAGACAACATCAACAGGAGAAAGAGCAGGAGCAGGAGAAGAACAGAGCACTAGAGGAGAGGATCAGAGTGCTGGAGGAGAAGGTGAGAACGATGACGGGTGACATTGAACAACCCATTAGAGAACAGCCCACCTCAGATCCTGGCCAAAGTCTCGACACCGCAGCAGAACAGTACACCCTAGACCCTGACCATAGCCTCGACATCACACCCAGACAAACAAATGAAGAACCCCAAGCCCTGGGGACCCCAACCCCTCTGAGCAACCCCCCAGTCAGACACCCTGATAGCCCTCATGACGACCCCCCCCACACCCACTGAGGACATACACAAGCCACAGATTGTACTCCTTATGGACTCAAACGGGAAATACATACAAGAAAATAAACTTTTTCCAAAACACACAGTGTCTAAACTCTGGTGTCCAAATACCCAGCGCGCCCTAGACCTTCTGTCTAAGGACCGACTAGGATCACCCAGCCACATAATAATACACACAGGCACAAACGACCTGAGAACACAGCAGGAAAGGGTGGCCACATCACTCAAGGGCGTGATAGAAAAAGCTTCTTCTACTTTCCCCAACGCACAAGTGGTTATCTCAACCCTGTTACCACGAAAAGACTTCCACCCTGCTACCATACAGCGGGTAAACGCAAGTATTTCCCGTGACTGTGCATCAAAACCAAATGTCTTCCTGGCCCACCACTCCACCCTGGACGTGAACAGCCTTTACGACCAGGTCCACCTATACAAGGCAGCAGTGCCCACCTTCGCCCGGACCCTAAAGGATATCGCCCTCAACCGCAGACCCAACACCTCACACAGGAGCAACAGATCAACAGACACCCCGCCCAGACCAGCGAGACACTCTCCCAGACCTGCGGGACCCCCCCCCAGGACCTACACATAGAGGACCCCCGCAGAGAGGACCTACATCCAGACCACAGCACCATCAACCACATCTACACCCCCACCCCAACCAATTAACTCCCCCCCAAGTCAACCATGCCCACACCCCATTTAGGCCCCCTCAGATCAGACCCATGCCCCTCCTACCCACCCCAAGCCCCCCACTCCCACAAAGAGGGCCTCAACATGAAAGTCACACATACGCCCAGGCCGTGAGCAGGCAAACAGGCCCAACACCCACTCTTACACTAGCCCAAGCCAAATGGCATGTACCAGATGCTCAGCAGGCTCTGCTCACAATTACTGGCCTGAGGCCAAACCACACAACCAACAACATTAGACACTTTATGGAACACAAAGCCTTCACTATTTCATCCTGGAATATCCAAGGCCTGAGGTCATCTGCCTTTGGCCTAAAGAGCAGGAATCTGGACTTCACCAAAGAAATCGGAAATACAGACATTGTCATCCTACAAGAAACATGGTATAGAGGAGACGGACCCACTGGTTGCCCTCTAGGTTACAGAGAGCTGGTAGTCCCATCCACCAAACTACCAGGTGTGAAACAGGGAAGGGACTCAGGGGGTATGCTAATTTGGTATAGAGCAGACCTAACTCACTCTATTAAATTAATCAAAACAGGAACATTTTACATTTGGTTAGAAATTCAAAAGGAAATTATCTCAACTGAGAAAAATGTCCTCCTGTGTGCTACCTATATCCCCCCACTAGAATCCCCATACTTTAATGAAGACAGTTTCTCCATCCTGGAGGGGGAAATCAATAATTTCCAGACCCAGGGACATGTACTAGTCTGTGGCGACCTAAATGCCAGAACTGGACAAGAACCTGACACCCTCAGCACACAGGGGGACAAACACCTACCTGGAGGTGACAGCATTCCCTCCCCCATATGCCCCCCTAGGCACAACTACGACAACATAACCAACAAAAATGGGTCACGACTCCTGCAGCTCTGTCGCACACTGGGTATGTACATAGTCAATGGTAGGCTTCGAGGGGACTCCTATGGTAGGTACACCTATAGCTCATCTCTTGGCAGTAGTACTGTAGACTACTTTATCACTGACCTCAACCCAGAGTCTCTCAGAGCGTTCACAGTCAGCCCACTGACACCCCTATCAGACCACAGCAAAATCACAGTCTACTTGAACAGAGCAATACTCAATCATGAGGCATCAAAGCCAAAAGAACTGAATAATATTAAGAAATGCTATAGATGGAAGGAAAGTAGTGTTGAAACCTACCAAAAAACAATTAGGAAACAACAAATTCAATCCATTCTAGACAACTTCCTGGACAAAACGTTCCACTGTAATAGTGAAGGTGTAAACTTGGCAGTAGAAAACCTAAACAGTATATTTGACCTCTCAGCTTCCCTATCAAATCTAAAAATCTCTAACAGAAAACCAAAGAAAAGTAATAACAGTGATAAATGGTTTGATGAAGAATGCAAAAACCTAAGAAAGAAATTGAGAAACCTATCCAACCAAAAACATAGAGACCCAGAAAACCTGAGCCTACGCCTTCACTATGGTGAATCACTAAAACAATACAGAAATACACTACGGAAAAAGAAGGAACAGCATGTCAGAAATCAGCTCAATGTAATTGAAGAATCCATAGACTCTAACCACTTCTGGGAAAATTGGAAAACACTAAACAAACAACAACACGAAGAGCTATCTATCCAAAACGGAGATGTATGGGTAAACCACTTCTCCAATCTTTTTGGCCCTATAACAGAGAACAAACAGCAAAAAAATATACATGATCAAATGCAAATCTTAGAATCAACTATTAAAGACTACCAGAACCCACTGGATTCTCCAATTACATTGAATGAACTACAGGATAAAATACAAACCCTCCAACCCAAAAAGTCCTGTGGTGTTGATGGTATCCTCAATGAAATGATAAAATATACAGACCACAAATTTCAATTAGCTATACTTAAACTCTTTAACATCATCCTTAGCTCTGGCATCTTCCCCAACATCTGGAACCATCTGGAACCAAGACAGGGATGCAGTTTAAGCCCCACCCTCTTCAACATATATATCAACGAATTGGCGAGGGCACTAGAACAGTCTGCAGCACCCGGCCTCACCCTACTAGAATCTGAAGTCAAATGTCTTCTGTTTGCTGACGATCTGGTGCTTCTGTCACCAACCAAGGAGGGCCTACAGCAGCACCTAGATCTTCTGCACAGATTCTGTCAGACCTGGGCCCTGACCGTAAATCTCAGTAAGACAAAAATAATGGTGTTCCAAAAAAGGTCCAGTTGCCAGGACCACAAATACAAATTCCATCTAGACACCGTTGCCCTAGAGCACACAAAAAACTATACATACCTCGGCCTAAACATCAGCGCCACAGGTAACTTCCACAAAGCTGTGAACGATCTGAGAGACAAGGCAAGAAGGGCCTTCTATGCCATCAAAAGGAACATAAAATTTGACATACCAATTAGGATCTGGCTAAAAATACTTGAATCAGTTATAGAACCCATTGCCCTTTATGGTTCTGAGGTCTGGGGTCCGCTCACCAACCAAGAATTCACAAAATGGGACAAACACCAAATTGAGACTCTGCATGCAGAATTCTGCAAAAACATCCTCCGTGTACAACGTAAAACACCAAATAATGCATGCAGAGCAGAATTAGGCCAATACCCGCTAATTATCAAAATCCAGAAAAGAGCCGTTAAATTCTATAACCACTTAAAAGGAAGCGATTCCCAAACCTTCCATAACAAAGCCATCACCTACAGAGAGATGAACTTGGAGAAGAGTCCCCTAAGTAAGCTTGTCCTGGGGCTCTGTTCACAAACACAAACAGACCCCACACAGCCCCAGGACAACAACAACAACAACACAACTAGACCCAACCAAATCATGAGAAAACAAAAAGAGAATTACTTGACACATTGGAAAGAACAAACAAAAAAACAGAGCAAACTAGAATGCTATTTGGCCCTAAACAGAGAGTACACAGTGGCAGAATACTTGACCACTGTGACTGACCCAAACTTAAGGAAAGCTTTGACTATGTACAGACTCAGTGAGCATAGCCTTGCTATTGAGAAAGGCCGCCGTAGGCAGACCTGGCTCTCAAGAGAAGACAGGCTATGTGCACACTGCCCACAAAATGAGGTGGAAACTGAGCTGCACTTCCTAACCTCCTGCCAAATGTATGACCATATTAGAGACACATATTTCCCTCAGATTACAGCGATCCACAAAGAATTCGAAAACAAACCCAATTTTGATAAACTCCCTTATCTACTGGGTGAAAAACCACAGTGTGCCATCACAGCTGCAAGATTTGTGACCTGTTGCCACAAGAAAAGGGCAACCAGTGAAGAACAAACACCATTGTAAATACAACCCATATTTATGTTTATTTATTTTCCCATTTGTACTTTAACTATTTGCACATTGTTACAACACTGTATATATACATAATATGACATTTGAAATGTCTTTATTCTTTTGAAACTTCTGAGTGTAATGTTTACTGTTAATATTTATTGTTTATTTCACTTTTGTTTACTATCTACTTCACTTGCTTTGGCAATGTTGACACAGGTTTCCCATGCCAATAAAGCCCTTAAATTGAAATTGAAATTGAAATTGAATTGAATTGAATTGAGAGAGAGAGAGAGAGAGAGAGAGAGAGAGAGAGAGAGAGAGAGAGAGAGAGAGAGAGAGAGAGAGAGAGAGAGAGAGAGAGAGAGAGAGAGAGAGAGAGAGAGAGATGGAAGACATGTGTGATGCTTCTCTGTCTTTTAACATGGAAGTCAAATCTGGGCTGTGTTCCAATTCCCTACTTGTCTCCACAAAGTGTGCACTTACAAAACATTGTGAAAACATGGGCTAGCGGGAGTTTCCACTATGTCCCATACACAGGAGAGAGGGGGGTGAGTGACTGCACACTTCAGAGTGAACGGAAGAGAATTGGAGCACAGCCCTGGGCTTAGTTCTGACTGAGCTTTGTGTATGCTCCCCTCCCTCAGGAGACCCTACATGAAACTGTTATTAAAGTTATGCCTATGCATCTTTGCTTCAGTGCTGGTGTGGCGAACCTGCTACCATGGTAACCGTTCGTTCTTGCTGGTTAGTTACCTTGGTTCTGGTGGCGGATGCAGTCGGAGAGGATGGAGAGGAATTCAGCTTGGCGAGTATCCTGTCGGAAGCAGAAGTAGTAATCCCTACGGTACGGAAGCCTGAGGTACACAGGGAACTGTCCAGGCATGCCGATTATAGGAGGGGCAAACCTCTCATTTACATCTGCAATAGAAACACACACATTATCATGTTGGTCATACACATTGGCTGTTAATATTATTACACACATCATGCTGGGCCATAGCATGGGACTTATGGGACACCCACACACACACACACACACACACACACACCAGTCTGCCTGGTTTTACTAGAGGAACACACTGCCTATTCCAAAGGACGAAACATGTGATGATTTTAAGGTAGTACTCATCTCTCATGAGAAAACATATGATCAAATGTGATAAAAACAACTGCCTTTATCTGCATTTGTGGCCGTCTGTAACAGGAGAGGTAATGCTGCTTCTCCCAGAGTAGCAAGGACTAAAAAACACCCACTCACTGTGCTCTCTACACATCTAAAAGCAGTTGAGGTGGGAGTTGGGGAACAACAACGTATTTGACTGAAATTTGGCAACTTTCAAAATAAGTGTCCGGAATGGCAACAGAGACAAAATGAAAGAATCTCCCAACAGACAGACACAGCATGTATCAGTGCTCAGTGGATGGAATGGTTTTATCAGTCCGGTTCTATAAAGACTGGTTTCCCTACGCTTCTGTGTCCCTGTAGGCAGGTTTGAACAGGTTTTAGGCCAGACTGTTTGTTTCAAGGGTATTTGCATTGGGATTTCACTAGACAAGTAGGAAACCAAGCGAACCCTACATAGAGACTGTCTGCGAGAAAGGGATTGCCATTGTGATTTTGTGTAGCAACAGAGAGGGTGTGTAACTTAACCCACACACATTCATACTCACACTCACCCACACTCACACACTCACATTCACACTCTGAGTACTAATAGAAGATCCAGGGCTGGTGCATCTATCTACTGTCTAGTGTGGTCGGTATGTCATAATATATATTAATAAGGAAGCACAGCATCGGTAGTCAGCTTCGACATTGCTATTTGCTTACACAAGTATGGATGCCCAAAACTGACATCCTACTACATGATATATACTCACTGTTGGTTTCAGAAACAGGGAAGCATTTGTCCACCATGGCCATGTATGTCTCCTCTGTGGTGAGCACAGTGCCCCCTGTTGGCAGCAGCTTGTGGCACGGGGGCACACCCTTCACAAAGGTCTGGAAGAAAGGATTCACTGCACTAGGGCTATTTCCATTTTTCTGTTATTTATTTAGCTCAAATACTGTATACATTTTTCTTATGCTGCTTATGCACCTACTCAGACAAAATGTCTCCCCAATGACGATGTCCTCCTTATGGCTGTTAAAAAGGTGTCATAAGAGTGTCCTGCTCACCTCAAAGCTGTTGTGGCACTCCAGGCAGTAGTTGGCACGCACCACCACGTACCTCTCTTTCCACTTCCTGGTGTCCTCAAAATGGAGGACTTGTTCCTCATACAGCACCTCCCCAGCCTCCGGAGGACCCTGGATCAACACAGAGATGATGTCATGATGCCATGTCCGCAGTGGTAATCAATGGAGAGATCCATTGAACACATACGCACGCACACACACACTCACACACTCAAGCGCGCACACACACACACACACACACACTCCTTACCCTCTGTTTGAGGACCTGCTTTCTTTTCTCTTTCGGCTTCTCCAGCACACCCTGGACTTCGGAGAAGAAGACTACAGAGCACTGTGTCCTGTAGTGGGGACCGAACTCTTTCAGCTCTGCCTCTGCACAACCTACAAACAACATCACCCAAACATACAGTAACTAGCATTATACACTGAGTATACAAAACATTAAGAACACCTGCTCTTTCTATGGCAGACTGACCAGGTGTATCCAGGTGAAAGCTGGAGAGGAGACTGGCTAAAAGAAGGATTTCTAAGGCTTGAGACATGGATTGTGTATGTGAGCCATTCAGAGGGTATTTGGGCAAGACAAAAAATGTAAGTGTCTTTGAACGGGGTATAGTAGTAGGTGCCAGGTGTACCGGTTTGTGTCAAGACCTGCAACTCTGCTGGGTTTTTCACACTCTACAGTTTCTCGTGTGAATCAAGAATGGTCCACCACCCAAACGACATCCAGCCAACTTGACACAATTGTGGGAAATATTGGAGTCAACATGGACCAGCATCCCTGTGGAATGCTTTCGACACCTTGTAGAGTCCATGCCCCGACAAATTGAAGCTGTTCTGAGGGCAAAAGGGGGTGCAACTCAATATTAGGAAGGTGTTCCTAATGTTTTGTACACTCAGTGTACAGTATGTAGTAGCAGCTGTAATAGTAATAAAGTATAGTGACTAGTAGAAGTATTGGTAATGGCAAGGATAATTCATAGTGATTGTGTGAAGAATAGTACTGTAATTGAGCAGAAAAAGGGGAAGTTCTACAGAGGCTGCTTCGTGAGGTTTACTTCATATGAATAATTTATTTCTAAAACGCTATATACTGTATGAATTTTCAGAAATGTTGGTATATTAGCTTGTATTGTTTAATGAACTAATGAAAGAGATTGGTGTGTTTTTTCACTATCTAATCATGACATGGGTGTAAAAACGGCCAGCTCATCTCCTTTCCAAGACCCTAACTTTCTTTTGGTTTTCCTATTGGAATAAGGTCATGGCAATCATCATAATCTTATTAGCCAATCAGCAGCCTTTTTCCCGGGACTTAGCATAATACCCGACCAGGCAGGGCCTCAGGCAGTCTGTAGTTTCCATTCCAATGACCAACCTGTTTTTCTCTCCTGCTTATACTACCTCCTTAGAAGAAATTGCTTTTCTTTCTGATGTTTATTGTGCGTGCAGCTAAATGTAAGTGCCAAAATCCTGAAGTCTTGTTGTTTGGAGATAAATAGTGTCTGTTGTAAATATGTACCATGTGTTAAACTTGTTAGCTAGCTAGCTAGCTTGCTTACTCCCGCTAGTGTTAGCATTAGCATTAGCATTGTCATCCGGAATTCATTACTATTTAGCATGCTTATTAGTGAATAGCATTTGTTAGCATTTGTCTGTTGTGCTAGGCTATTTTCTGTTGTAGATCGCTCATGTTTATTATGTTGTTTTATCATGTGTAGTTATTTATACATTGCTCTATTGTTATTTGTGCATCTATCATGTGTTTGGATCCACATAGCCTGTTTAGTTGTTGACATGCAAATATTTCTCCTCTTTTCTTTACAGAACCACAATTAGTATCAGAGAGAGTGGTATTGTATGTGTGTGTGTGGATCTTCATTGAACCTTGAACTGGAACTACTGCTTCCTCGTGTTCTGAATGGACACCCTGTGGTGGGTTGCTAACGACCTAAAATCCAGCACCTACGTTTTTATCCCTTTTTATTGGTCCTTCGAATTCAGAAACAACCCATATTTTTCATGGTCCTTCGAGCCGGATTCAGTAACTACCAAAGTTCAAGGTTGCCAGTCTCCAGAGAAGATCCTCCACAAGTTGTGGTTTGTACCCGCCGTCAGACTCGCCCCCCACATCGACTGGTCGACTATGAGGTAAGCTACGAGTCAAGGCAGACACCACACACAACAACGCACCACTCCAACGAGGGACCACGAGCAGAGGGGGCTGTGAGTGGAATTAATTACCATTGTACCCTCCTGTACAAGATGAGAGAGAAACCCGTTCTTCCAGAACAGTCGTAACGTGCCTGAAGCTGATAGGAGAGGAAACTGAGAAGTTGACACGGGAGATACTGGAGCTATCGGAAGAGCTAAATTCATCCGCTTCAATGGGTCCCCAACAGTTGAAGTCACTACCCAGGCTGACCCGCAACAGTGAGGATGGAGCCTCACCTTCATCAATGGCCAACTCACCGGCCCCCCATAGCAGGCGCACCTCGACTAGATATTGTCATCATCAAAGTCAGCCTGAGCGGGCACAGCTGGTGACAACCAAAGATGATAAACTGCAGTCACAAAGGCAGCGTGATAAGATAGAGCAGCTCATTGAAAACCTTGGGATCATAGGGCTCTCCTTCTCAGACCAGTCATCCTCACCGTCATCATCTACTCAGTCAACCCCTTGAGGTCATGAGCCATCGCACCATCGAGACCGGTCGACTTCTCATTGCAGAACTCGTAGCCCTATAGCGCCACCTAGAGGGCTGACTCACCTAACCGCTGTGGTCAGCCTACACCTGATCGCCGTCGTCAGCCTGCACCTGACCGTCATGACTACTCACCTGACCGCTACGGTCAGCTTACAACTGACTGTCCCGCCGCAACTACTCACCTGACTGACGCCGACGCGACAACTCACCTGACCGCTACGGTCAGCCTATGCCTGATTGCCGTCGTAAACCCTCAATTGATTCCCATTGTCAGCCCACGCCTGAGTGTCGGCGACTACTCACCTGACCGTAGCCGCCGCGACTACTCACCTGACCGTTGTCATCACCCCTCACCTGACCATCGCCACTGCGACTACTCGCCTGACCGTCACCGCCGGGCCTACTCACCTGATCGTCGTCGGCACTCACCTGTCCGCTACCGCACACCTTCTCCACCCAGCCGGGAGCGCGTCTACCATGGACTAACTCCTACCATCCCCAACTTCATCAATGAAGACCCACGAGAGTTTGCAAGGCTGAATGTGGCCCTTGACAATGTTTTGCCTGTAGATGCAACAGAGTGCTTCAAGTTTCAGATATTGGTGGACCACCTTAAGTTGGAAGAGGCTTTGCTAATTGCCGACTCCTACAGCAACAGCAGGTACCCATACAGTGCCACCATGGAGTCCCTCACAGAACTGTATGGCCAGCCCCACCAGCTTGCCCTCCAACGCATTGCAGGGTTAATGGGTGGCCCCAACATCAAGAGTGGTGACACCAAGGCATTCCGAAGATTCGCTCTGAGGGTGCGTGCCTTGGTTGGCATGTTGGATCAGCTAGGGAGTAATGGACAGAGAGAACTGAGGTGTGGCTCACACATCTCCCGCCTCTTAGTTAAGTTACCACACGACCTAAGTGCCAACTTCAAGAGATGATGGGGTTCACACAAGACACCCATTCCAGCCCTCCTTCACCTGGCAGAGTGGCTCGAGTACAAGGTGAGAGTGCAAGTAGATGGCATGCAGTTCAGTAGCGAACAAAGCAGAGACCACCCTAGCTCACGCCGAAATCAGTGTAAAGACAAATCCTTCCCCAAGATCATCACCACCCTCCATGGAAGTGAAACAGAGAAAGGACGAATTCGAACTCTCTGCACAGAACCAGTCTCCGGAGGAAAGGTCACGGGAGAACCCAAAGAAGTATTGTCTGTTCTGCAACACCACGCAGCATTACATGAATCAATGCACCAACTTTCAGCTCCTTTCCAAAGAACAGAAATAATCCTGGATCAAGACAAATGAAAGATGTTGGAAGTGTGGACGCGAACACCAAGCAGCTCAGTGTACTCTCAAGGCTAAGTGCAAGAAGTGCGAGAAGAAGCATCTTGAGATTCTCCACGAGGTCAACACTAGCCCGACTGCTACAAAGAACGCTAGCATGAACGCTATGAAGACTGCCAGCACAAAGGCGTCAACAGAGAGCATTTGCCTGGTGAGCTCCACCGCAGAGACCCTCTATGTTGATCGACCTTCCAGCAGCAGCAAGGTGCTGCTGAAGATGAGTCGAGTCATCTTGCGGAGCGGCAACAAGTCACTTGACACGTACTGGTTTGATTCTACAACAGTCTTAACCTGGCTCCAGTCAGACTCCTGCAGGTACAAAGTATTTGTAGGCACAAGAGTCGCAGAAATACAGGAGCTCACAGACCCCCAGGCCTGGCGTTACGTGGACACGGAGAGAAATCCGGCTGACGATATCACACGTGGCAAGACGCTGTCTCAGCTTTCAGAACCCAACCGTTGGAGTCAAGGTCCTCCATTCCTGTGGCAGGCCCAGTCATCCTGGCCGAGAAGACCAGACCAAGTACCTCCTGACGAAGCAGAGGAGCTGTGGAAGCCTACCTTCTGTGGACTCCTGTCAGCGGAAACCAAGTCGTCTCTCCCTGATGTTGCCCAGTTCAACACTTTCCATGAGCTGGTGGAAGCCACAGTGCAGTTGCTACACGGGGCAGCCAGTAGTGCAGACAGCCCTTCAGCCAACGAGCTGAACCCGAAGTACTCAGACATGCTCAGTCTGAGAGCTTCCCAGAAGATGTCTCCCTACTAGAGGCAGGCAAGCCAATCCTTCCGAGCAGCTGTCTGGTGACGCTGGCCCCGGAGTATGACAACGACACCGGACTGATTCGTGTTGGAGGTCGCCTTCAGAGGTGTGTCTAGCTGGGCCCTGACGTTCTTCACCCAGTGGTTCTGGATCCAGGTCATCCGCTCACCAGGTTGCTGATCAAGAAATATGATGAGCAGCTGAGGCACCCGGGCCCAGAGAGGGTGTTTACTGAGTTACGTCGAAGGTTCTGGATTCTGAGAGGGAGGGCAGCCATTCACCATTTTCAGCTTGGCTGCACCGAATGCAGGAAGTGGCGAGGCCAGCCAGATGTGCCTAGGATGGCTGACCTGCCCCCAGCCCGACTGCGGCTACACAAACGCCCACATTTTATTCTACAGGCGTGGACTGCTTTGGACCGTATATCATCAAGATTGGGCATCATCTTTAAGTGCATGACCACCCTGGCTGTACATGTGGATCTACTGACGAATATGGATTCCGATTAATTCCTAATGGCGTTGAGACGCTTCATCGCTCGAAGAGGAAAGCCCTTTGAGATCCTGTCTGATCGAGGAACACATTTCAAGGGAGGGGAGCGAGAGTTACAGGAGGCCTTCATGACTCTCCACCCACAGCTCCAGGAACAGTTAGCCAGTCAGAAGATTCGCTTCGCCTTCAACCCACCAAGTGCACCACACTTTGGAGGATGCTGGGAGAGGGAGATCAGATCCATCAAGACTGCCCTGCAAACCACTCTTGGTGTGCAGACCATCTCCGAAGAGGTGCTGAGGACTGTCCTAATCGAAATCGAAGGGATCTTGAACTCCAAGCCCTTGGGATATGTGTCGTCGGACATCGCGGATCCGGATCCAATCACTCCTAACTCTCTTCTCATGGGGCGGCCAGACTCGTCACTACCACAGGTAGTCTACCCAGAGTCTGAACTGCTCAGTCGCAAAAGATGGAGACACAGCCAGGTTCTAGCCAACCATTTCTGGCACTGCTTCACACGGAACTACTTACCTGCACTTCAAGGCCGCCATAAGTGGCACAAGGATAAGGAAGACCTTGTAGTTGGGACCGTTGTGATGATCGTGGATGATCAGTCTCCTAGGGCACTCTGGCAAGTTGGAACTGTCAAGTCAGCTTTCCCTGGAGCAGACGGGAAAGTGAGGACAGCAGAGATCCAAGTCTAGGACAGAACCTACGTCAGGCCTGCTGCTCGACTCATCCAGCTGCCCGCCCTTCCTCAAGAAGCTACTGACCCTTAGCTGGCTTGTCTGTTGAAGCAAATATGTACAAACACATTTGGAGGCGGCTGTAAAAACGGCCAGCTCATCTCCTTTCCAAGACCCCAACTTTCTTTTGGTTTTCCTATTGGAATAAGGTCATGCCAATCATCATAATTTTATTAGCCAAACAGCAGCCTTTTCCCCCGGGACTTAGCATAATATCCGACCAGGCAGGGCCTCAGGCAGTCTGTAGTTTCCATTCTGATGACCAATCTGTTTCTCTCCCCTGCTTATACTACCTCCTTAGAAGAAATTGCTTTTCTTTCTGATGTTTATTGTGCGTGCAGCTAAATGTAAGTGCCAACATCCTGATGTCTTGTTGTTTGGAGCTAAATAGTGTCTGTTGTAAATATGTACCATTTGTGTTAAACTTGTTAGCTATCAACCTAGCTTGCGTACTCCCGCTAGCGTTAGCATTAACATTAACATTGTCATCCGAAATGCATGACAATTTAGCATGCTTATTAGCGATTAGCATTTGTTAGCATTTGTCTGTGGTGCTAGGTTATTTTCTGTTGTAGATCGCTCATGCTTATTAATCAAATCAAATCAAAATCAAATTTTATTTGTCACATACACATGTTTAGCAGATGTTATAATGGGTGTAGGGAAATGCTTGTGCTTCTAGCTCCGACAGTGCAGTAATATCTAACAATTTCACAACATATACCCAATACACACAAAAAAGTAAGGAATGGGATTTAAGAATATATACATATATGGACAAGCAATGACAGAGCGGCATGGACTAAGATACAGATGAATATTATAGAATAGAATGCAGTATATACATATGAGATGAGTAGTGCAAGATATGTAAACATTATTAAAGTGACTAGTGTTCAATTTCTTAAAGTGGACAGTGATTTCAATAGGCAGCAGCAGCCTCTAATGTGCTAGTGATGGCTATTTAACAGTCTGATGGCCTTGAGATAGAAGCTGTTTTTCATTCTTTCGGTCCCAGCTTTGATGCACCTGTACTGACCTCGCCTTCTGGATGATAGCGGGGTGAACAGGCAGTGGCTTGGGT